TTTATGGACATCCATCATAACCCCATATTTCTACTGGATTAAAAAAGCAGAGGTCTTTTACTCTCCTTTTGTAAAGTAAGTCATCTATTTCTCTGAGCATCCACCCAGCTCAATTCTGCACCTTTTAAACTGTGATCCATCCTGGCTTCCTTCCTCCCAGTTGCAAAATCCTGTGGGACTGTCCTGGTCCTTCAGTACACTGAAATCCCCCTCCTTGGCCCCTACATGGAGCTTAACCAGACTTACAGGTAATGAGCAGTTACAGGTGACTCTTACACACCATGCCTCTGCATCTCACTCCAACTCTTCAGTACTCTGCTGCTCAAGGTGTCCCATCTTGCTGTGAAACACTCTGCTCTTCCACCAGATGGCCAATATTTACCACTTCTCTCTCCTGTATGTATCTGAGAAATGGTCACACTTCCATCATGATTCAGGAAAGTGTTAAACCAGATTAGTTTTGAAAGCGATGTACTGAAAAGCCAATGCCAGCCTCCATTACTGCGGCCCACCACCATCTCCAGCCCCATCACCCCTCTGCTCACTACAGGAACAGAAAAACAGACAAAACGGGGCAGACCACAGGTCTGCAGTGCCCACAGGGCTGGCACAGCTGACGTGCAGCAGCCAGCACAGCTTACAGCAGCACCTGCCCACAGCGCTACCACATCCTACTGACAGATCTTCAATTTTTCGGTCACAAATTCCCCCAAATGCTTTCCAAACCTATTTAAACTTTCTGCTGTTGAGAACAACATTTACTTCCAGATGACTTGCTGGTGAAGCCAGAAATTCGGCCTGTGATGTTACTTCAGATGTTTAATGAATGAGATCTAGTTTCAGTCAATCTGCAGCTCTCAGAAGAGGACATTACAGCAGATCTCATCAGCAGAAGGCTACGATTTAAGTCTAGTGTGACCTACTTTGGTGGTATCACATGCATTTTTCATTTATCTGTATGTTTTTCCTTCTACATCAGTTGTAGTAACTTGCCTATTGCTGAAATTCATGTTGAAGGAGACTGGCATGGCGGATGCAGAGCATGGAAAATTCCACCCCTCACATTCAGCGCTTTTTTCCTCCCAGAGATCACCCACATTTGGCAGGTTTGTGAAAAAAAAAAAAAAGGGAACAGATCTGGGATTTGAGAGCTCTCCCAGGACACCAGGAGGGAGTTGGGCTCAGGCTTCCCTCGGCTGCCCAGCGCTGCCCTCCATCTCCCTTACTGACACCTGGCACAAAACAAGTATTTAATTCCGGGACCACTCTAACACATTTTCTTTTCTATCTCATCTGTACTTGCACAAAAAAAGATCCTTTTACTACCTATGCGTTACCATTTGCAACTGAGCTGCACCAACTGGTGAACTCTCCCTGTTCTTACACTTCCTGACGTGCTGGGGTTTTTCCATCCCCTGAAGACTCTGTGCTTACTGCACAAAGCCTTCCTGAGGCAGTTACTTGTCCAAAGGATTACCAAGCCCCTCCTGTGTGCACCCTTCTGGCTTGCTCAGGATGCAGATTTCTTTTGGGTACATACGCTGGGGTTTGGGACAAGCTGCAGCTCGCAGCCAGCTGAGGACTTTCCACCTCCAGATCTGATCTGACAACCACATGGGTCACAGCAACAGCAATAGCTCTCAGCCACCTCAATGAAATTCTTGGCTCCAACATTCCCACACCACTTCATGTGCTTATGTGCCTCCCCATACACAAAAACACCACGTTTTAGTTAAAAAGCCTGCTTATCACATCCACAAACTGAACTACTGATCTAATTTTGCTCGTTCTTCCATTTATTTTAAGCTGAATCACAGCTTTAGCCTTGACTGCCTTTCCAACAAGCTCACCTGCAGTTTAGAACAGCCTCACCAATCACTGGGTGTCATCCTTTGATTAGGAAAAGCAACACAGCTCTCATGGCTACAACCATCTCACCCCTCTCATCAGTAGCAATTGTTCTGCAAGCATACCTGGCTACTTGAAGTGTCCCTAACAAGAAAACCAACTAGAAATGATTCTTTTTATTATGAAAAATCTTCTTCGTTGGCCAATTTAACTAGAAAATCCTCAGCAAGTACAACAGAACTTTGTTACATTACATCACTGTGATCAATCGGAAATGATCTGAAATCTGAAGTACTGCATCTGGCTGCTCCTGTTGAAAGAGAAGCTCACCTTCACCCATCAGCATTCAAAATCTTCCAGGCTATTTGCAGTCTCGCCCTGTGGCACCAAGCAGGAGGCTGCTTTGGCCTCGTGTCTTACTGACACTGCACTGCCCAGCTGCAGGCATTGAGTGCCTCCAGATAAAGGCTTGAGACTGAGGAGGGCAGAAGAGATTCAGCACATTTTAAGGCCAATCATCCTTCCAGCATATTATCACATGAGCTTAAAAAAAAAGTACCATCAAAAGAACAGATGAGGCAGCACTTATCTGAAGATTATTACTCTGAGTCTCAAGCCAAATCTGCATCTCACTTCCACTAAGCCTTGTTGTTTTCTCCCTGTTTTCTACTTGTACGCTTGCCAATAAAGTGCAAAAGGTTAAAATTTACAGTGATTTTATTATACCAACTTTTAAATGATTACAGATGAAGTCAGCAGCTTTCTGCTTCTATGTTTATTGCCCTGCCAAAAAAAAAACAGATGCAACGATGTCCTGTGCAACCAACACAAGCACAATGCACATCTCAAGGAACAGGCTGGATTTCGTGGGCTACAAGCTTTCTCTTCTCTTTCCCCAGTTTTGCAGCAGTTTATGCGACCGTGGACAAACCAGGGCAGGTTCCTAAGTTTTGCCATAGAAACATTACCACATAGAATGGCTGAGGCTGGAAAGGACCTTAAAGACCGTTCAGTCCCAACCCCTGCCATGGGCTGGTTGTCCCCACCAGCTCAGGCTGCCCAGGGCCCATCCAACCTGGCCTCGAGTACCTCCAGGGATGGGGCACCACAGCTCTCTGGGCAGCTGTGCCAGGGCCTCACTGCCCTCTGAGCAAAGGATTTTCTCCTAACATCCAATCTACATCTCCCTTCTTTTAGTTTAAAACCACCCTCTCTCGTCCTATTACTGTTATCCTCCCTAATTACTGAAAAACACCTAATTAGGGAAAGTTTCCTGTTACCTTGACTGTAAAGCCTACTCCTACCCCCCAGTATCAAAGCAGCACACAAAACCAGCCCTACCCAGCACGGCGTGAGCGCAGCTTCCAAAAACCAACAGCAACTTAATCATTTTGATTTAATTTCAGACATGCCAGCGCTGCCAAGCACCACTTTATTTGTCAACAAAACGTTTTGATGATCTGGCAGAAGGCAGCACACTCCCTCCCCACTTTCTCCACATATTTGGCAATGCTTAAGGCAGGTCTGAAGCTGTTCTGGGCTTAAACCCCACTCCTCTCTTCGTGTCACCGCTGCCCCAAAGGCAGCGCTGCAGCCCGGGGGGTTCGGCCCTGCCAGGAAATGGTTAAGCCGCCGATGTGCGGCTCTGATCCATCGCATTTCTCGCAGGCTGAGCTCAGAGCCCAGCACCGAGTATCAGCCGTAACATGATCCAAGAGTTTATGGAAAAAATAACCGCGCATACCAAGCACGCACATTTAATAAGATTTTCTTTCCATTCAAACAGCCTAGAAACATGATTTTTGAGATCGGCTTCGCCCTCCGACCGGGCTCTAACATCTCTCCTCCCCCTCCCCTAACACACACCTCCTGTCCAAAAACCAAACCCTTGGAAAAAAAAAAAGCAAAAAAGAGCGCTAGTACTGCAGGGAAGAGAGGCTGGAAAAACAACTTTGATTGGCACTTGGCCTGACCCACAGAGGAAGAAAAACAGATTTTGGACAAAGAGCGCAAATATTTGAGCTCGCTGACTTCGAGACTTTCTCAGCCTTTCGGAAGGCGAAGCCTGAGCGGATTGAATCGCAGTCTCTCCCGGGCTCGGGGCGGTCGAGTTTGCACAGCTCAGCGCTTTTAATTCATTGGCGCAGCGCAACCGGAGCGCAACTCGCCGGGGCGGCGGAGCGGGGCGGCACAGCGGGGGGCGGCGGAGCCGCTCGGAACGGGGCTGAGCTCAGCGCACGGAGCGCGGCTGCGGAAGGCCTTTTTGGAGTGATTTCGTGTATTTTTTTACAGCATTGATTCCCAGAGCTCCTCGCCCCCGAAAAGGTGTTGGGGACGAACTCCCGGGTTCGTAAGCAGCCCCACGGCGACCTCGGAGCGGCACCGCCTGTCCCCCGACACTCCCACTCCGCTGCCTTCACCCCTAGTTCCCAGTCCCGAGCCCTCACCCTGCGCCCATTTCGCCCTCCCCCCTCCACGGTTGTCTGCACCTCACGGCCCCACTCCGACCCCCCGAACCTTCAGCATCCAACACCCCCCGCTGCCCCTCCGCACTCACGGCCGTGCCCCCCGCTACCTGTCTCGGCACCTTCCGGCAATTGCCGCACACCCTGTACTGGCCGGCGGCGGATGCAGCGCCGCCGCCTCCGCCGATGGAGCTGGCGCTGAGCCTGTTCATGCTGCCGGGGCCGGGCCGGGGTGCGGCGGGGACCGAGGCTCGGCTGTGCTGGGCTCCGTGCCGCTCAGCAGCCCGCGCCGCCGGCCGCCCCCATCCTCCAGCCGCGGCCCCAGCTCCCCGCTCCGGGCCGCTGCCCCCCGAGCACACACCCCTGCGCGCTCCACCAATCCGCGCCTCCCGCCCCGCCCACCGCTACGCCGACCGACCAATCACGAGAGCCACACGCCGGCGACCAATGGGGAGAGCTTTTGCCGGCTCCCATCTCCGGGCAAGCTGAGATAAGAGGCGGGGAAAAGGGCGGGACCGGCGCGGCAGAGGGGCGGGGCCAGCCGCGTCTCTGGGCAGCGTTGGGCAGAGAGGCGGGGTCAGCGCGTCGGCGCGTGTCCTCTGCTGGCCAATCGGGTGCCTATGCAAATAGGCGCGGGAAGCCCCGCCCCCGGGGCTGTGAGGGAGTGGCGGTGGTGGCCGGGGGGGAGGGGGCGGTTTGGGCTGCGTGTGTTCGGCCGCGGCGCGGTACCGAGCCGGGACCAGGATCGGCCCCGCTCCGCGACCTGCAGCGAGCAGCCCGAAAGGCACAGGGAGCGAGGGCCGGGAGCTGGATGGCGCTGTGGAAGCCTGAGGCGAGGGCTGAGCCTGCCCCTCCCTTGGCCGCCTTCGGCGAGCTTCGGCTCGGCTCTCCGCGTTGGGAGAAGCGATGAGTCAGGTTTTCTCGGCTCCATGCTAATGCACGGCGATGGAGGGTGTCATCAGCAGAGCGGCAGGGCCGCGATCTGCGGCGCAAGGCAGCCGGGCTACGCGCCTCCTCTGCGCCTCGGAGCAGCGCTGAGGTTCCTGGTCCGCGTGCTCTTCCAGCCCCAGCCGTGTGCGTGCAGGCTTTGGCGTCTGTGTGTGAAACGCCGCGTGGCGTCATTCTGATGTGGAAAGATTACGGTAAGAAGGATTGGATTTGGTCGCGGAAGCTGAATATCACGGCTCCCCAAATCTGTAAGAAGACTTAGGGTGTTGCATACCGCGTTCTCGACATTTCTCCTGTCCAAGTAATTGTAAATGGCCCGCCTGAGAGCTGTGATCTGCTTTGTGTGCCTTCATCCATTAGAATACCTCCTGTTTTTGCAAAACCACGTGTTGTGTCATTTAGACGACTGGCTGTGCTAAAAAGGGCACAGTGAAATTAGTAATTTACATCTTTTGAACCCAGCTCTGGTTGTTTTCGAGAACTACTGAAAAGTTTCTTGGCAAACTTCACCACCAAAGTAAAACCACAGCCACTGCCATCTTGCCCCTTCCAGCAGCTTCTGAAGGAATCCTTACCTCAAACAGGGCTGTCGGCAGCAGTGAGGACTGCCACTCGTCACTCATTTCAGTGTGGAAAGCACTCAGACACAGCAACAGGGAACAGAACGCAGCACTCACAGAGAAAAAAATACAAGAGGTTTTTATTCCCCGAGCAGAATGGTAGAAATGGGATCCTAATGTGAGAAAGCACTGCTTGCTGGAGTGCAGGTAGTTGCTGTGCCATGTTTGCATCCCACATGCTGCAGCATGGTGCTACTAGCACTGAAAAGACAGTGGGAAGCCAGACAGATTAGTTTCCATCAGCTAATCTGCATGTAATGCTAAAATGTAAGTAAACAACATGAATGATGTAAACGGCTTTTTATTTATTGCTGAGGTCTATGATGTTATCTGAAATGAGAAGCTTTAGAACAAGCAGTAGAGGATCAGGGTTATAACCATGAGCAGCAGCTGATTCTTTAGCACAAGTGAGATCCATTGGAGTCATTTGCTGTCAAAGGGCCTGCTTCAGAACTCAACCTGTTGATAAGGACAGGGGCAGGCAAGCTTGAAACACAAGTAAGATAATGGTTTTAATTGGGCTAATATTTAGCACCGAGTACTGGCAAATAGTCAGATTTCTTGAATAATATTCATTTATTTTATTCTGACAGTGACAAGTACCCATGACTAGACATCCTCAGAAATATGATTGTGTCCTGTTCCTCTCCACTACAATTATTCCCAGTTGGGGTGACCACTTCAGACCTTTAGCAAAGCCCATTACAAAAGGGAACATTTTCTATTAAGCAAGTGAGTGTTAAAGTAAAGCTGACGTGTAAGGCAACTTACAATTGGAGAAATTTGATATCTAGTCTCTGTTCTGCCACAAACTTCTTGTGAGAGGAGGTGGGAAGTACTGGCCCAGATGCCTGAAGTACTCTGTGAACTACCTCCCTTAAAATAAATACCTTTGTGGGTCCCAGGCTTGCCATTCAGTTCTTCAATGTCTGAGAACTCTCAAGAGAAACATACACTTTGTGTTTCATTGTTTCTGGTAACAATACAGCAAGTAGAAGTCGGCTAACATTCTTTCCTGCAACCCCCTCCTCCCCCCAACAAATTCTCTTATATATTTTCTGAAATTCTTTTTTTTTTTTTTTCTCTTTTCTTTTTATAATCAGTTTTGATACCTAATGGAAGTGAAAAAAAGTACTTAACTGGGCCAGATGCAGTGCATATCCAGTATCAGTATTAAATAATTTATCGACCAGAGACAATTTAAAAATAAAAAAGTCCAGATACCAGAGGTCTTTGTCTAGATGCAGTATTTCGAAATGAGTTGTTGGGATCCCCATGGCACTGATCAGGTAAAATACTGTATATGTGCTTAACTTATGCCATCTGCAAGGCCCCGGTGCCTGACAAGGCATGTGCATTGTGTGACTGAATTTAAGCCCTTGGCTTGTTCCATTTCAAGTTAAACAAATGTGTAAAAGTCTTTGCACAAGCTGTCTTTGTGAATACAGCCACATTCCTGAAAGTTCTTGTAAATTTATTTCACAAAAGAAATATTACAAAAAGTGTCTGGTGCTCCCTTCACAATTACCTGTTAGCTTCTGTGATCCAACTGTACCTTAGTTGTTGTGTACTGCTGTGTTTCCTTCAGTTTCTGTCCAGTTACTGAATGGTAAAGGAAAGCAGAATCTGAAATTACCTCATAATTTAGTTACCAGCAGCCTGGCACCTTGACCTGCCCAGAAATGTTAAGAAGGTGGTGAATTCTATAAACGCAACCAGTCTTCTCTGCTGCGGTCACACAAAGAGGCTGCTGGTTGTTGCCATGGATGGGAAAGGGGGAGAATTTTTGTATCAGTGGCATGCATCATACTGGCTTGAGACCATCACATCCCTGCAGACAGATCACTGACCTGCCAAGACAGATTGGCTTAAGTGGTTAATGGTTTAAGCAGAATTTTATCATCGATGATTGAAACTTTTGTGAAGTTTTACTTATTACTGAAGAGTAATACTAATTGATAAGAGAGGAACACGCTTCCAAAGGAAAATAGGGTTTTCTCTGCCTTCTCAAGCATTTGGGTGCAATCTTGAGAGACACATTACAGCCAGGCACTGGTTTCTGTGCTCACCATAGGAGTAACTGGATGAGATGTGACAGTTGGAGTTCACCTAATGCTTTATTCAGCCTTTGAGCTGGTTCAAAGCAATCAGCTAAGAGATGTAGCCCATCAAAACACTAAGCTGTCTTCACCCGCAGTAATGAGTGCCTACACCATGGTGGGACACCAGCTTTTGAACTCACTTTGTGGCTGTAATATTTCTGCCTAGACTTTCCTAATGAGCAAGTTGAGAGTGGTACGGTGCATCTTTACTGCCTTCCAGAAAGCATTGCCCCCAACAGTCATCAGCTGAAAGCCAATCTGTCCACACAAGCTAAGACAGAAGATGCTGTATGGATGGACTGTGTCCTGGAAAAACCCACCTGGCCATGGTGTGCATGCAGATGCTACTGGAGTACTCAGTAGGTCCATATCTGTTCTTCCTATGATGCAAACCTCCTGTAGAAGGGCACAGTTCCTTCACACTCCATACATAAATGCAAAAGCTTGATGCTTCCTGAAAAGGTCGGATTGAGAAGATCAGTGCTATAAAACTGAACTAGTTATGCAATAGATGTGTTTGCAATTCAAAGACCTCTGGCAGCCCAGGGAGAAAAGAAAAGAGGGGGCAACTGCAATGCAGTAACTCAGACTGGACTGCTACAAGACTAGATATTTCATAAGAAATTAAAAGATCCTCAAATTTTATTCATAAAAAAAAAACTTCAGAAGCAGAAAAAGAGGATATGTGAGTACCTAACTGGAGACTTACCCACTCTCCCCATCTGACTGCCACTAAAAAGCCGTGTTCAAATGTCAGATGGGTGACTGACATGCTCCATGCTTTTCATTTCTTGAGTCCATGAATCATTCAGCAGAGCCATATGAAACACGGATAGATAGGAAAACTGATATGGTTTCTCAAAGGTCAGAAAAACCAGCACGTTACCAGCATGTCAAACAAGTGACAGTCCTGCATTCATTACACCAGGCTTGGTGCACCATTTTAGCATTGTTTGCACAGGACTTTTATTGTGTTCTTAGAGGAAGGAAGGGCAGCAGATAAAGTTTGTGCCCTGACACTACAAAATGACTTCCCATCCTCAAAATCACACACACACATTTTGCAAAATGAGTGTTCAGATAATTACATGAGAAGGCGAGATGTCAGTTTGTGGAATTCTTCCTCGAGGGTGGGGGCACACACCTTTTCATTAGCAGCATTTAAACCCTCACTAGATAAAGCACTCTAAATTATGTTTATCGTATGAAACAATTACAGCTTGTCCAGGAGAGCTGAGCTTGCCAACCTAATAGGCTTTTTTAATATCTAATTTCTTGGACAAATATGTAGTTCTAAAAAACATTACATCACTACCCAACCAAGAAACCCTTTCTCTCTCTATGTTTTTCTGAGGTTTGCATGATAATTCACTAAATACATTTCAGCATGTTGTTTACTTCAGCTCAGCCTTCTGAGACCACACAGGCCAGTGCTGAGACAGTAAATAGGGATCATCTAGAAAAAAAACAGGTTATGCTTCAAGTTGACCTGGGAAATATTCAGGTTCACTTTGGAAATGTTTGGGGCCATACAGTTTTGGGGGGTGATACATTGGAGAAATGCATTAATTGAAAGAAAATCCAAAAAGCAGGACGCAGGTAGCCGTGTTATTGGTCTTCCTCCTGATTCAGAATTATAAATGATCTCTTGTAATGTATTCTTGTAGATGTGAATCCCATGAGCAAATGAACCCAGGATTTGAGGTGTGCACAACAACTGCTGACTCATCAGGATTTTGTCACTTCCCTGAAGATGTTGCTGGCTGTTGGCTTCAGATCTCAGGTATCCCTCATTTAAGAACTCCCTATTTTGCCTCAATCCCTCCTGTGGTAGCGAGGCAGCTGAGGAGCCAAGAGTTCAAAAGTCGAAGGGCCAAAAAGAGGGCAAACAAGAGGGAGTTTTGGCTCAGTTGTGTGCCTGGCCAGCCTTTTTTTCTTTCTTTCTTTTTTCTGTGTGTGTGTGTAGATGTCTTTGTCTTGCTGGAGAAAGAAATTCTCAAGCAGCAAAAATTGTCTGTTCATATTTTGCAACTGAAACACATGGTACAGCATGATGCCATGTTGAAGATGGAGCTGATCAGTGAGATTAGCTTCCGTTACTCACTGGCAATGGTATGGCTTTCATTATTTTCACAACAAATACAAAACTCAGCAGCCTTTGGGATATGGCACATAATTTAGGTCCATTTCCTATTGAAGCCCCCCAAGATATCTAAGTAAGTTGGAAGATGAGTTTGAATTATAACACAGTTTTATTCTTTGTTTCTGGACAAAGGGCTGAAGTGATGAAACATTTGCATCTGTTTTAAACTTGGCTTATTTTTATTGCTTTTTTTTTTTTTAATCCCACTACATTATTTTTCTGACGGTTACACCCTGAAAAAACAGGTTGTCAGTGCAAGCAGGGTTTTCTCAGAAGGTACCCACAAGAAGCAATTAGATGTGTGAGCAAAGGCAGTCAGCACATGGGATCCTCCCCAGCAAAACAGGCTCAGCGCTGAAGGCTTGTCTGCATGGCATGTTTCTTCTTTCATCAAACACCAGCAAAATGCCAGGAACATTCCTGGACAGGAGAAATCTTGAATTCTGCAATTCAGCCTTAAAGAAACACTCCTCTGGGGATCTGCCCGACTGCCTGACGGAAAAGAGTGACTCCTGTAAGCAGATCTGCCTTCGAAGACTGACCTATTTCAGCCCAGCTCTGCAGAGCGCACAAGCTCTATTTATGATGCTGCAGGAAGGGAAAGGCAGGATGCAAGCAATGCACCTTGTTCTGCTGGGAAAGAGCCGGCAGCCCCAGCTCCAGCAGTGGAGCCCCGCATCAGGAGATGGTGGGACCTGGCTCCTGTTTGGGCAATTAAATGAGTAACATCATCACATCTGACTGAACCTCAGGCATGTAGACCTGGCTACTTACTCTTGCTGCAGAAGCATTTATATTGACACAGATTCAGGAAGATGCTGGGCAGCAGAATCAGGGAAACAATTGTTTTATAAGCAGACTGATGCCTTCGTACAGCACAACAGTGTGATCTGCAAAGGATCTACAATGCATAACAGGATTGTAATCCACAGCAAAGTCACATCTTGGGAATTTTATTCGTCCTCATTTCTATTACAGTGTCTTTTTACAGGGAGAAATAACTTCTTTTTGTTATTCTGTATTGCTCTTGAAGCTTAACCTTCCTCTTGCTGGGCTCTATAAATCATGGATTTTCTTATAAACAGACTACAGATCCGCTCACATCTTTGTATTATTTGGCTTCTTCATTTCAGAAACAGTATGGGCCAAATTCTTCCTTGGCATAGCTCTATTCCCAGCATTCTTATTTTGAGGATGCTGGGCCAGATTCCTGATCTCTCTGCTTTGTCAATGGGCACTCAAATCCCTGCTGCTGCGACCACTGCTGCCATATATCAGTAACACCACTCTGCTGCTGGGCAGAACATAGCCCTCTGCTTAAACAGCACTTTGATCAACTGAAATAAGGAAAATATTGCTGAATGGAGCCTTCAGCAAATTACTTGTTCTGCTGAAAGATCATCCACTCTTGGCTTAGCTTATTTCAAGCATGACAGTCCAGGAAAAAGAGTGTACCTGTGAGTGAAATAAGACTCAGTGGGAGTCAGTAAGACCCAAAGTATTGCGGTATTAATAAATGTATATTTGTGCTGAAGCATGCTAAACCTCAAAGGCTGGATATAAATATCAATGTCTATTGAATTTCAGGAAGAGATGGCTGGTGGAAAGCATGCCCGATGCCGTTCTGCAATGTGCAACCCTGTTTACACAGGGACTATTCATAGGCACGTTCTGCTGCTGAGCAGGGAATTTGCTTCTTCACAGCCAGCTCATGCAAAGCAAATTTTCCCATATAGTTCTCAGGCAGGAGATTTAGTTTCCCTTTAAGTAAAGCAGCAGTGCTGTGCTGCAAGTGATGGCCCAGCTGAAGGTGCAGACAAGGAGCTGCCCAAAACCTGCCAAAGGACAAAAGAAGCTTCATAAAGGCAGAGGTTGAAATGGCACTGATGTCTCCTTCATCAAACACAGGCTGCACTTCTTTCATCAGAAAATGTGCCACAGTTGGAATCTGGCAAAATGAATTCTAAGCACGTCCCTTCTGCAGCCAGTTTTCCTTCTGCCCACTGGGACAATGGAGAGATGACACTGTTCAGAAATAAACCCACAGCATGGATTTGTGATTCTGTCAGATTGGGTTCTCCTTTCCCACTCCTGGAACTGCTCTGGAGGTCTTCAGGCTTTATGAAGCTGTAATGGACAAGGAGAGGGCAGGGGAATTAAAGCCCACCTGCCTCTTGCTATCCCCTTTCAGGGCTTTTTGCTTCCAGGAGCAAGTGAGATCCATTCATGAAAGGTGTTGAATGGCAAAAACAAAAGTCCAGAAAGAGTAGTTATCTTAGGAGTTATGAAGAACAGTGCCTACTACTTGATAAGCTGCAGAGAAAGTAAAGCCAGAAAATGCCTAAATTGAGAACAAAGCTGATATGACAACTGAGTGCCGGAGAATGGCACCAATGGGAAGAGCTCAGCACAGCATATCTGGAGTTATCTGAGTGACTGAGGGAGATAAATTATGTTCTGCTCACCCAGAAAGGCAGTGTGATAGTTCTGGGGTGATCTCATTTTCTTCTGCTATCAATGCTTTCCTGCCGTTTGTGCTGGCTTGATTAGTCAAGGCAGGATCTCTTAGGAGAGGTAAAAGGCCTGGTGGGATGTTGTCCATCTAATTAGCTGCCACTCTCATTAGCTCAGGGAAAAAGCTGCGTGCCCCCCCACCTCCCCCTCCTACCCCAGCACCTGGGGTACATCCATCCATGAAAGCTATCAAACGAGGAGAATGATTCTTGCTGTGGGTAACCGAGGCATGGGCACGGCCTGTGCTGAAACCTGGTGCCTGTGTTTGCTTGGACAGATGCAAAGGACAGCTGGAACTTGTCACTGATCACTGCAGAACTGCCAGGGGCACTGCACCTGCGGACAGGCATCTGGGTGCAAAGCTCATGCTCGGACCTGAGCACAACCACAGTGCAGCAAGAGGCTGGATGTAGTGCAGCTGCACTGTGACAAAACAGATTCATTGAATGGCTTTTGTCCAAACGTGCTTGCACCATGCAATATTATGCACATGTGGCAGGCTTGCAACTTTCCCACTCAAACTGTTGCAGAAGTGCTAACACTTGGCTCATTACTTTTCAGGAGGATGACAGGAGCATGTGCTGTGGGTTCCTTGCACTGCTGAAGGCTCAGGCAAATAAGCAGTATGCTAAGAGCTATTCACAGCTGCTGGCTGAAGCTAGCTCGATGTTCATGGTGAACTGACAAGCAGAGTATCCTGAGAAGCAGTGAGATATGCGTGAGCTATTGCATAACTATACATACAGAAAAAAAATCTATGGATAGTTGTCATTCTTTGCACTTTTATTAATGTCTCTTGCCAGTGAAGATCCTGAAGACTTGCAACCTAGAGTGGCTAGAGGCTCTTCCCTTAGAGTATTAAGGAAAAAAAGAGAAAACCTGGAGACCCTGCAGAGGTGAGATCAGATGACACCACAGCCAAAACTGTGCTTCACAGCGAGAGGGATCACAGCAACGTACCTGAATGAGAGGCTCCAGCTGGAGTACTGCATCCAGGTCCAGGGCCCCCAGCATCAGAAAGACATGGAGTTTTTGGAGAGAGTCCAGAGGAGGGCCATGAAGATTATCAGTAGGCTGGAGGAACTGGCCTTGTTAAGCCTGGAAAAGAGAAGGCTTTGGGGAGACCTTATTACAGCCTTCCAATATTTAAAGGGAGATTATAAACAGGAAGGAAACCAACTTTTTACACCTGTAAATAGTGATAGGGAAGATATAGGTTGGATATGAGGAGGAAGTTCTTTACCAAGAGGGTGGTGAGGTGCTGGAACAGGCTGCCCAGAGAGGTTGTGGATGCCCCATCCTTGGAGGTGTTCAAGGCCGGGTTGGATGGGGCCCTGGGCAATCTCATCTGGTATTTGATCTAGAGGTTGGCAAACCTGCCTATGGCAGGGAGGTTGGAACTTGGTGATCTTTGGGGTCCCTTCCAACTCAGTTCATTCTGTGATTCTATCAAAGAGCCAGGCATTTTGAACCAATGGCTTGGCAGTGTGTTCCGAGCTCTAATCAGCCCACAGCCAGTGGCTGGGCAACAGGAGGCCCGCTGATGGTGGCTGGGGCCAGGCAAGTGCAAGGATTTTGGTTTCTGGCTGGCAGGAGTGGGACTACAAAGGAAAAACAGTGATACTGAAACGCCACCCGGGCCAGGAGGTGCTGGGAAGGTGACACCAGCAGCCAGGGCAGTGAAATGGAGCAGAGTCAGAGAGATGCATCAGCTTTGGGCACCCAGAAACAAAAGGCCATTTCATGAGGATGATGCCCTGGGAATTCTGCTGCTGGGGGAGGAGGGCAGAAATCAAAGAGAGGGCAAAACCTACGGTGGCTGTGTATCAGCGGACAGGGTGACTCTGAAAGCTGCCAGTCCTCTCAGCCTGGATGAATGGCTTCTATTTACGTGGATCCCTATGCAGAAAAACATTGTGATCATGATCTAAGCGGCCTCGCAGACGTTTTGGCGCCTGGGCTGGCTCCTTCCTCCCACTCCAACAAGCATGGCAAAGCTGGCCAGCCCTGCACTGCGCACCCTGCACCGTGCCCCAGCTCAGTGTCTCCCAGCACCATCCCAGTACTCAAAGGGAGGATGAGCAGGCAACATCCCTGCTGCCCTGCCCACGTTTTGCTCTGCTTTCAGCAGAGCCAGCACGGCCTCGGCCACGGCCCTAAGCCCAACATGTGCCGCAGCGTTCAGCCAGCTGAGTCATGAGTTAATCCAGCAGTTCCCATTCAAAGGCTGCTGCCTTTGCCCTAGCTGAAAATGCATTTGTTATTTTGGTTCTCACTCCTCCGTGTGAAGGTTCAGGTGGCAACCTGCTGTTCATTGCATGTCATAGGTTGTGCATGGCACGCCAACAAAACGAGATGCTGAGATACTGGCTGCTGGCACAGGGTGGCCACACCGTACAGGCCCCAGCACCAGGTGAGCTGGTGAGCCTGTGAGCTCCTGAGTGAAATGGATCTGGGCACAAAGTGAGCAACCTGACTCGCTGGATTAGGAATATATTCCCGAGGTAGCAATCAGTGAGTGGGATGGATGGCCTTGTTCATTCACCCCACAGAGTGGCTGGACAGAACGTTCCCTGTCATTGTCCATCTTGGTAGGGTCACAGGATAAGCCCTCGCATCATACCCAGCTGTGTAGGGAACACAACGGGAGCGCCCCGCAGAGGATCGCAGACCTGCCACCGGCTTCTCTCCCTCCCGTGCGGAGCTCAGCTCCCTCGGGGCTGCACGTGCCGGCGCCCTTCGCCACTTCGCCCCTTCGCCCCTCACCCCATTCATTCTCCACCCGCCGCATCCGCGCGCCCGCCCTGCGTCACCGCTTTTCCACCCAGCAACACGGTGACGTCACAGCCGGGGGCCAATGGAGAGGCGCGGGGCGGGGCCGGGCGCGGGCGCGCGCCGCTGGCGCAGTGCCGGCTGTGCGCTGCGGTTTTCGCGCTACTGCGCGTGGGCTGCGCGGGTTTGGCTGCTCGTGCTGCGCTGCGGAGCGCTTTGCTTCGCCGTTTCGTGTGCATCATTCGTGCCCTGATTGTGCACAGCCTAAGTAGCTCCGCTTTGTGTATTTGTTATTTTCATTACAAAGCGTGAACTTCAGTGACTGCCTTTTCAAGCTTCCTTTTTTTTTTTTTTTTTTTTTTTTTTTTCCTTGCAAGTGCAGCTTGGTCAGATCTTGGTGTAGGACATAAATTCATCTTCCCAGCTCATGAGTCAGAGGATCATAGAATCAGAGAGTGGCTTGGGTTGGAAGGGACTCAAAGATCATGAATCTCCAACCCCCCAGTTGCATATAGGGCCACCAACCTCCACATTTAATACCAGACCAGGCTGCCCAGGGCTCCATCCAACCCGGCCTTGAACACCTCCAGGGACGGGGCATCAACAGCCTCTCTGGGCAGCCTGTTCCAGCACCTCACCACTGTCTTGGTAAATCTTCCTGATATCCAACCTAAATTTTCCCCCTTTCAACTTAAACCCGTTTCTCCTTGTCCTGCTGTCATCTACTCTTTCAAAGAGTTGATTCCCATCCTGTTTTAGGCTCCCTTTAGGTACTGAAAGGCTGCAGTGATGTCAGCCTGCAGCCTTCTTTTCTCCAGGCTGAACAAGCCCAGCTCCTTCAGCCTGTCTTCATAGGGAAGGTGCTCAAGCCCCCTGATCATCTTTATAGCCCTCCTCTGGACCCTCTCCAACAGCTCCGTCTTTCTCGTATCAGGGACCCCAGATCTGGACCCAGTACTGCAGATGGGGCCTCACAAGGGCAGAGTAGAGAAGGACAATCACCTCCCTATCCCTACAGGCTACCCTTCTTCTGATGGAGCCCAGGATGCCATTTGCTTTCTGAGTTGCCTTTCCCCTTATCTCTTTAACAGTGACATGGGAACTGGAGGTAACCAACTGTGTGTCATTGGCATGGCTCAGAGCTGAGCTTCCTGCAGTGCTGTGCTCTAGAACCATTGGGTTCAATGGTGCTGTTGGGTGGTGCTGCAAGCACTGCCCTGCCAGCAGGACTCACTCACAGCGGAGATGCTCCTTAGCTAAGGGCATTGCACAGGATGTCCTGTTGACACTGCATGATCATAATTTAAAAGTTATTTACAGAATCTTTGACTGTTGGTACTTTTATAACAGCCACTGTAACAGGAAACCATTTTTTATTTATATTTTTGCTGTGGTGTCACAAGGGAAACAGGTCCTTGAGCTCATTTGAAATGTCTGCAAAAAAATCAGATGTTCTGATGCTGCTTTTATCAAACATGAGTAACAGGCAGTGCTTTGCTGTGGTCTCCTTTGGTAAGCACTGAGCCCCTTCTGCTGCAACTCCAGAGGTGTGGAGGGTGGTGAGGGACACAGATGGGCTCACAAAGTATTCAGAAGGAACTGCAGTACAAATACGTATTGCCCACATGTTCACCAGAGAAGAATGAGATAGGAAAAGAAAGAAAAGCAACTTCAAAGCTGAATTTTAAAAGCTTGGGTTTTCTTTCTAAACCAAACTGCCTCTTTCGTGCTCACTTTTTGCCCTCTGTTTCAAAACACAACTGGACTGGGACCCCCAATTGGGCATTTCGAGTCAGTCTCCTTTCCGTGTCCTGTTAGTACTCCTTGGGCTCAATTCCTTGCTGATTCTGGCTTCAGTATGCACTAGGAAGCAATTAGGGAATAAATCTTTCCTTCTGTGCAGTTTGGTGTGTGTGTTTGTTGTGCCATGAGTATCTCTTTGGCAGTGTTAGGCACCCTCTGTGAGGCGCAGAGCAGAGGTGTGCTGGGAGCACAGGTAGCCCTGGCTGCCTTTGGAGTGAGCTGGAGGGACTGACCTGTCCAAAGGGTAAATCTGCCCGTGGGAAAGCTGAAGGACCTCTTGGAACTTTCCATAATCATCATGGAATGGAGACTTCCCGTGGCTCCAGCCATGCCCTGATGCCCAGCATAGAAGAAATTGCAGGGACTCCCCAGTGCTCTGGGCAGATCAGTCCCTAGTGCTCAATAAACAGATACTTAAAATCACAGAATCATAGAATAATAAAGGTTGGAGAAGCCTGCTAAAATCGTTTAGTCCAAGTGTCTACTCTTCACCACTGTGCCCACTAAACCATGTCCACATTCTTGAAAACGTAGGACAGTGACTCCAGCACTGGGCAGTGCGGGCAATGCGGGAAACCCTCTGCCCTCCAGCCCTCATGAACCCCATCTCCAGTTCACCCTATGGCCTCCATGCAGCTGGTGCTCTGACTATTGCAACTGCAGAGACTGATGGGCTGAGGTCAGTGTAAAGTCCAGAATTTGCTTCAAATATATATCAGTAGACCACAAAAAAAGAAGGAAAAAAATACCAGATTGGATATAAAAGAAGCAAGAGCAATATAGAAAAATAAGGGTGATATTTTAGTTTGAAACGTCATTAGAAACAGTACTTTGGCCTGAAGGTGACCAGATTGTGCTCTTGCAGCACATAAGATCCTGTTGAACTATTCACATCCTATTAATGCCATAGGGCCACAAACGCAAATGGAAACATATGCTTTTACATGCTTTTCAAACCTTGAGATTTCTCTGCCTGTCTCCTTGCTGTGTTTCCAGGATGCCATGCTGTAACCTGGGGTGCCCCTGTTGCTGTCTTCCTTTGCTGCCAGGGTGGACACGTGGCTGCACTGATGTTGACCTGACCCAACAGGAGACAGAGCCCTAGGCAGAGGAGCATCACTTGCCATGTCTATCTCAGCTAATTTGAGTGAAATTCATGTATATTGTTGAACCTAATCCCTCAGTTTTGCTCCAACCTGCAAAAATTCCTATGAAGCTTGAGGTGCAGCTGAAACCTGACTTTCAGAAGTGACAAGTGCCAGCAAGTTCTGCTGCTGCTTGCTGAATTTGGGAGTGCTGGATGTTTAGGAAGTGATGCACTTGGATGCTATGTGCAGGCAGAGAAGTAGGAACCGTGTCACCAGGCTTTGGTGCCTGGTGTAGCCGATTGCATCTGGTTGTAGCTAGGTGCTACAATCCAGCTGCCCGTTTCTCCGGCCCTCTCCAAAGCCAGGAGCCCTCGGCAGACAGTTTATCCCATCTGTGTCAGACATTGAGTGGAGCAAGGCACCATTTCTCTGTGTCAGCATGAGAGGGCTCATGGCACATCTTGCAGTGCTCCTCCCTGTCACCACTCATGGAAGGATGTAATGGGGCTCTCGGGAAGGTGCTTGGCTTTCAACAAGGCCCCAAAAGAGAAGGGAGAGCAACGCTGTGAGGCTGGGATTTTGGCAAGCCAGATTGCAGACCTGGGAAACTGAGCTGACTTTGTGCTGATGTGGAAACAAAATCTGCTCTGTTTTTCTTATCTGCGGCACTGCGAGTGATTGCACAGGCTGTTCTCTGCCTGCCCTCGTGGAGCAGATGCAAAGTCTCCATTTTCTGCTCACCTTACAGGAGGGCTAAAGATAAACATCTGCAGTTTCCTGGGCTGAAAGTGCTAAGAGCGAATGCCACCCCTGCCCAGCTTTTCAGATGGTTGACTAAGCACTTTAAAGGTCCAAGTTATATTTGGAAATGAAAAGATCTTTGTCCCAAACAGAAAATGGCTTATGCGCTGTTGAGACTCACAGTCACTAAAAGCAAGCACATCTGCTGATGCAACCTAATTGCTGTTTTGATTGCCCAGCCATGACGGGGCACAAAAATATTGTCTGCCTACAAAAAAAGAATGAAACCTCACTTGGCCATTTTCTGCCCAAATACCTTGGCATCCAGCCTTGCAGGGCTGGAGTTGGGCAAGCTGAATTCAAAAATTCCCCAGTGGAACCAGCCCTTAACAATACAAAGCTGTGCCTGTTTGCCTGGGTGGACTATTTTCATGACTCTGAATAAAAGCCATGTCTGGAGCACTGCACGTTTCTGTGGGGGCTATGCAGGGAGGCGGGCACACTGCCCTGTGCCTGGGAGTTTTCCAGTGGAGAGAGGCATAATCAAGGACATAAGCTACTAGAAAACATCCAAAGGAGGGCTACAAAGATGGTGAAGGGTCTGTAGGACAAGGCATATGAGGGGCGGCT